TTATTCCAAAATAATAACTAAAGGCAGTAACAATTTGAACAATATTCTGGAAAGGTTTCATTAGTTAACATTATTTAACTACTTTAGTCAACATGAACTAAGAATGCACAATAGCCTACTTCTACAGCATTTATTAATCTTAGTTAATATTAATTTCAACATTTACTAATGCACTATTAAAGTCAAAAGTTGTGTTTGTTAACATTAGTTTATGCACTGTGAATTAACATGAACTTACAATGAACAACAGTATTTGTATTAACTATTGTAAACAAAGATGAATAAATACTGTAATAAATGTTCATTGTTTGTTCATATTAGTTAACACATTAAATAACACCGTATTGTAAAATGTTACCGATATTTTTTATTTGTGAACTGATGTTCAGCTGTTCTTTTTAATAGTCAACTTATTTCGGGTCATTGTCATAAAAGCTCTGTAAACACTGCCACAGACACGAAGATATATCTTTCATTTCATCACCCTGCATGCTCACTAAAAACTGACGCAGTCATCACATTTTCAGACCATTTCAAGTTTTATTTTGACGTGACACAAAGTAGTGGTATCTAAGCGGACGAGTTGTTTACTTACTTTATAATTAGTCAATAATGCCATCATTTTCTTCATTCAGGCCGAGAGCTCACACGAAAACAAGAGGCGGGATTTATTGCTGGAACCAATCACATCCAATCATAACCGATAATATCCAATTATTGCATTGCCTCCTCTCATGTGACTTTCTCCCATTCATCACAATTAGCCTCCAGAAAAGTCACGGCATGCTTTATGGCAGGGGTGTCCAAACTCAGTCCTGGAGGGCCGATGTCCTGTAGAGTTTTGCTCCAACCATTTTACACAAGTAGCCAGGTGGTGAAGACAAGAAAAAAGAAACTAAATCACGAAGTCACTTGCAATCGCCACTTGCACTCTCAGCTAGGCTACTTGTAATCCACACAAATCGTGCGTGTTGCCAATGGAGACAAGATGCTCTGGTGGTTAAATGATTAAAACTAGAGAAAACCATAAACACTTAATAGGCTATGGCTTAATGTATTAAGATAGTGTTAAAAGTATTAGTATTAAAAGATCAAATCAAGTTTATTAATATAATGTATGTATATAGGCTACAGATGACGTGCAGTACCCTGTATGTTATGGTACTAAATTAGTTTTAATCATTTAACCACCACAGCGTCTTGTCTCCACTGGCAACATGCACGATTTGTGTGGATTACAAGTAGCCTAGCTGAGAGTGCAAGCGGCGATTGCAAGTAACTTCGTGATTTAGTTTATTTTTTCTTGTCTTCACCACCTGGCTACTTGTGTAAAATGTTAAGAGATTCAATAAAAAAAATTAATAAATTAAACTAAATAAAATAAAAAAAATAAAAAAAGACTGCAAGTGACGTCACTCACGGAAGTGCAGGTGTCTGAGAGTGCAAGCCTGAGAGTGCAAGTCTGAAAATGCAAGTGCATGTCTGCAGCCAGACCCTTCTCCGATGGGCGCGCGCGCACACACAAGCAAATGGCTGCAATATAACAAAGAGTGAAAAATTTAAGGGGGTCTGAATACTTTCCGTACCCACTGTATATGTGTATATATATATATATATATATATATATATAATACAAATTTGTTTTCTGTTTTATTGTATTTATTTATATATTCCTGAAAATGTCAGAAAGCCTGGACCCAATAACAAAAACAATGTGATGTTTATTTCATATTCGATCTGAAAATGTTAAAAAAGGATACCTGATCTCTATTCTAAATTGAGTTTCTATTACTTGTGTTGGCAAATTCCCTTCATGAGCTAGTAGTACATTATATAACAATGCAATGTATATAACAATATATAACAATAAACATACATTATTATACATTATTAATATGTACTCTACACATTTGGTAAAACAATCATTCTGTTAACATCACGCTAGCACCTCATATGCATAAAATCCATTAGAAACCTCTCGCAGCACAACTGAGCCTGTATATACTTCCGGTTTGACTCAAATTACAAGCGTGGTTTTTCCTGGCGCGAGGATTCTGGAAAATGTAGTCCTGACCGGAATGCTGGTAGCGACTTTAAAATAAAACACCAATGTAAAATAACAACACCAGGTTTATTGTCATACAAGTTTCATATAATATCATAAACATAGCTAAGATTCTATTTAAACCCGCTTAAGAAAAGTGTACACGCTAACGGTACAATCTAAAGACTACATCACCCAGCTCTGCGCGCTATGAAACCGAGGCAGCGTAAACAGTACTTCAGGAACATGAAAAGATCGGATGACAGTGAGAGGGAAAAGAGGAGAAAGGTATCGCTTGTAGTTTTCTCTCAGTTCGCCAAGCACCACATGTAGTTGTGGAGTTTGTAAGACACCGTTCAGTGTGTCCGTGGCGGTATTGCACGCACTGGTTGCTGCTGTGTGTTCATTTGAAGTGCGCATGTGATGCTGCTGATTGCTCTTGTAATGTTTCCTTTCTTTTATCGGAGGAGTTTTGTCTCTGTGTGCGCACAGTCATCCGGCACACGAGTGTGTGTTGAGGCACAGCGCGGGGGGAGTGTTTTGTCATGACTGCCACACACTGACTTTGCTGGAGTGGCTTGTGTAGCGGCATTACAGCGTGTTCAATCGTGGTAGTAATGAATGAAGTCAGGACGCGTGTCCAGGTGTCTGTCACTCTGCAGGTGTCTCTGCTAAACCTAATTTATTTTACTTATGTGTCTTGTTTTCATCTGTTTTCTGACTAAACAAAAGATTCATCCACGAGCTGGCCAGGAAACGGACATGTTGTGTTTTTAATGTTTGCAGAGACGGTGTAATAGAAATAACTGTTGTGGTGCAGCTGTTTTTAAACGAATCTGTTACTTTTTCAGTGTCATTTTTTTTGAAGCATCATTGTGTAAAGCTTTTTGGTCCTGAAAGTAGATACAGTGGTCTTTATCACAGCATAAAGCCTGATTATTACACAGCCACTTCAAAAGATACTTGGACAGTAAATATTATTATCATACAGCTTTTTGCATTCAAGGTATAGATATATTTTATCGGTTCATGCATTCCCTGGGAATCAAACCCATGATCTCGGTGTTGCTAGTGCAGTGGTAAGAAATTATACTTCCAATATATACTTTTATATTTTGTTATTACATTTTACATTTAGTCATTTTGCCGACGCTTTTATCCAAAGCGACTTACAATTGGGGAATACATAAAGCGATTCTTCTTAAAGAGGCAAACAGACACAGGAAGTGGTTGTAATACCAAGTTTTAGGCATTGTTCAAATAAGTACAAGCTTGAAAAGGGAAGGAATAAATAAAGAAAAAGTGTTTTTTGATGAAGATGAAGTCAAGTAGCGTTTATTCCATACTAGGCGTGTCAAGTTTCTTTTAGGTTTGGAGTATTTAAAAATGGGTCATGTTTTTATGTTCACATACAGCTATGACACTGCATGAAAGGTAATATTCGAAAAGGCATAATAGGGGCACTTTAATGGATAGGGAAAAAAATGTCATAAAGCAACAGAATGCCACAAAAATTAGGAGCAATTATTGTCCCTTTAATGAAGAAGTTAGTTTCTGACGCTGAGCTCTAATAAAAACTAGTAACCTCTGAAAAATGTAATAATTTTCTTGGATATGGTGCAAATGAAGTATTGCAAATATTGTATTTTACTCGTTTGGCACTGATCTCTGGAAGTAATGTTTAACATGCCGGCATATTTGAAAATATTAAATTTATTTATAATTGAACTTGACAAGTTGACATGCCACTTTCTGAACTTGTCTGTGGTTAAGAGGGTTTAGTTTGATAACCAAAATTTCATATAATAATGCAGCATTTTGTTTGCATTTCAAATGAGTCTGCAAATTTGAGAAGTTCTGTCAGCAGCCTATCTATTCAATTCTCTCTTTCTATAACCTCCTGTTTCATTTTCCACTCCTTTTTTCTATTTTTTTGTTCAGTTTTAGTCTTCTCTCTGATGGCATGCTTTTGGATCATGCCTGACAGCAGGGAATCTATGTAGTACGTGGTTCCTCCACTTTATTGCAGCTGACACAGTGACCAGATGAGTCGCTGAGAACTTGATCCAGCTGGTTTTGGGTCTGTACAGCAGACGGACAGACAGACAGGTCTGCTACCCTGCCCCATCTCATTTCGTCTTATCTCTCTTCTTCATAAAAATAAACCGATCTGGGAAGAAAACCACAGATCAGCTAGACTGAGGGTCTGGTGTGTATTCCTGCGATTCCTAAATATAAAAATGCAGGTCCATTTAATCATAATAATAAATAAAAGGGAGTACATTGTTGTCTCAGCCATAAACGTGTGCATTTGTGCCCAGTAACTAGGATGTGGATGGATGTCAGCAGAAGGCCTGTGAACTATCCATTTCAAAAAGGAATTATTTTTATCCTTAGTTCAGCTTTACCAGGCATTTCCTAACCATATGTGGCACATATGTATGATAAAAAGAGCACTTCCATTATCATGCACTAAAAGAGGAAGACTATTGGCTAATAGCCTATTGAAAACTTACTTCATCCTTTTAGAAGTGACCTTACATGGCTTTCAACTAGGGCTGAACGATTTTGGAAAATAATCTAATTGCGATTTTTTTTTACCAAGATTGCGATTTAATATGCAATTATTTTTTTAAAGCTCTTTATGTTCTGTATTATTCAACAAAGACAAGCTATGAATCATTGTATAGTATGACCAACACACTATTAGATAGATTAAACATAAATGTTCTTTTCTGTAGGCCAGGCCTATATGTTACGATGAAATTAGGTGATGCATGAATTGATATGAATGACATTTTTATTTAACAACTACAATCACAGTATATTGACTGATTTGTTGAACTTCCAACCTTGTAAGCATGTAATAATTATGTTTAAATAAGCCCGGTGTAAACATTAATATGAAAGTCAGTAACAAATCACACAAACTAAAGTAGATTGCAGAAATATAAAAACAAATCTGTTGCTTTACCACACTACTTTAGGTAATTCAAAGTCACTGTAATAAACATATGTAAACATGTGGACTGCACTAAACACTGTCTTTAACTTTAGACCAGTGGTTCTCTAATTTTTGTGGTCGCACCCCCCTTTAAACCTATTAAAAAAATCTGCCCCCCTTTCCCGAATCCCCATCCCACCTCAGACTACCAAATAATTTCATTAAATATGATGAAAAATGTATACTTTTTTAATTTAAAAAACCTACAGGGAAAAAAACACCTGCATCACTTGAAAAATAGCATAGAGAGAATAACTTATTATTATTATTCTATCGCTGTTATTTATTTATTTATTTGTTTCATGCTGTCCGCTAAGGCAGTGGTTCTCAAACTGGGGTACGCGTACCCCTGGGGGTACGTGAGATGACGGTGAGGGGTACGCGAACAAAATTCTGAGTTTTGGCATTCATTTAATACCCCAACTTAAAGCAACATTAAAACCGAACGTATTTCTGACAAGCAAAATGCCGCTTCTAATGTAAAAACAGGAAAATG